GATTTTGGTTTTTGAATAAATCCACATTTTCATTTCTCCCCCCCCTTTCATGGGGGAATGACTTACTCAGAGCAAGTCTTTTTTTTTTTTTTTTTTTGTCTTTTTTCATGTCCGGCAATGGACCGCAACCGTCAGTGTCGTGCCCGTACCGGACCGGGACCGGCAATGGGATCGCAACCCTCGGTGCTGCGCCCGCCCCTCGCTCAGCCAGTGAGCGGGAACCGGTCTGTATGTGGGATCCGAACCCTCGGCGGGAGCGCCACCACGCTCTCAAGCGGCGCACTGTAGCACTGCGCCACCAGGCCAGCCCCCAGAGCAAGTCTTAAAGAAGCTGGCAAATGGCCCATCCAGGCCTCTCTCCACTGCTCTTAATGTAAGCACAGCCCTGAGTACCATTCCTGCCTCTTCCCACCCTTACCACAATGACCTGATCAAAGGGTTCTGTGGATGATGCCCTTGAATTCTGTCTAGTTGAGTTGTCATTTCTTTCTCTTGTTTCCCAGATTCTACCCCCAGCAGACACTCTTTCTTCCTTAGAGGAAACCTCCTATCTGAGCCCATGTGGCTTCAGATATAAGTTCAACAACAAGGGTCAGGAGGCAGTCTCGGAGAGGATTCCCAAAACCTCGCTATTCACCCACAGTTGAATTAGCCAGAGCCAGCCATGCAGTTTCCAGCTCAGAGTTTTGCTTGGGTTTTTACATTTCTGGAGGCATTTTTCTGCGCCCTCTAAAATGCTATATCCCAGATGTTTCCTGACCTCCAAAGAGAGGTCCAGAATGTAAGTCTCCAGATGCTTCTTCCAGAAATAAAATCTCAAATTCCTTAGGACTTAGGGATGGTTTAGAGGGCTGTGGCTCTGTTAGACTCTTATCTGAACAGGGAAGATCATAATTTGAACTTGAACCCTCATGATTTTTTCTAGCCTCTAAAGCAGTGGTTCTCAAGTATAGCCCCTGGACCAACAGCATTAACATCCTCTCAGAAGTTGTTAGAAATACAAATTTGGGGACCCCACTCCAGACCTACTAAATCAGAACCTGTGGGGCTTGGTCCCAGTAATTCCTGGTGTAACAAGCCTTGCAGGTGATTCTGATGCATGCTGAAGTGTGAGCACCACTACTTTCTAAAGCCAAGTTTCTTTATCTCTTGGAGTCTAAGGTTTGAGAATCTGATGAAAGATTAGGGTTCTCTCAGCTGCTTCACAGAACCCCTAAGATTCAAGTTAAGAATCTCTGCCCTGGAACTTAGAGATTGTCCATCCCTCTCTGCCCTCCACCTGTTCTCAGCACCACTACAAGAAGGGGTGGCCACATACCCCCCATTTGTGCTTTCATCTATGTACTATCAGATGTCACTGAGGGTGTGCATCCCTTGCTCCAGAGAGCGCAGGATAGGGGCTTGCTCCTCCCTGTATGTACTGCAACTATAGCCCATGGACTCTAAACAGAAACCAAATGTTCAGGCATAGGGCAACAGGCCAGAAGTCTGGGACCAAATAGAAAAGTGATTCCTTCTCCTGGACCTGGGAACTGTGTGTCAGACAACTGCTAAAAACTGATGACCTTCCTGTGACAGTTCTGGCTGGGGCATGTTAACTGCAGCTAGAGCTTTGTCCGTGGCAAGTCTTAGTCTGCAAGACAGGAACTCCCAAGACAAGGTCAAGACTTGTATTCCCTAGCCAAAAGCATCTCAGCTTGTAC